TATATATATATATAATGATAAAGAAATAGTTGTGAGAGAAGAGAGACAAGCAGACAGACAGACAGAGAGAGAGAGAGAGAGGAGAGAGAGAGAGAGAGAAGAGAGAGAGAGAGAGATGAGAGAAGAGAGAAGAGAGGAGAGAGAGAGAAGAGACAGAGAGAGAGAGAAGAGAGAGAGAAGAGGAGAAGAGAGAGAGAGCGAGAGAGAGAGAGAGAGAGAGAGAGAGAGAGAGAGAGAGAGAGAGAGGAGAGAGAGAGCTGCAGGTAGGCATATATAAAATAAAGATAGAGATATAGATGTGAATATAGATCAAGATATAGATATAGACGGAGAAATAGATACAATATAGATGTAGATATAACTTAGATATAGATAAAGATATAGATAAAGGATAGAAAGACAAATGCATAAATAGATAATAGATAAACATAGATATAAAGATGTATGCATATTATACATGATTATACGCGCTGTTTCCTCACGTCTTCAAAACTAAAAATATCTTGAGAATGTTCTTAAAGTATGGTTCATGCATGACTGCTATTAAATGTGATGCAGTTATCTAAAATCCACTTATGATATTACACATTCTTCTCATACTTTGTAAAAAAGGAAGCGAAATTCCTCAAGCTTAAAATCATCGGTTGGTATTAAATTTTACGCTCTCAAATTTCGTGGCTTTTTCGGGTTCCGTGTTCAGGTTCCGAAAAATTGTTTAAGTATGCGGGAGAGGACACACGCAGGAAATATATATATACAGATAAATGCAAGGAACAACATGTACTCAGAATTTGCATACACACACAAAGTATATACACACACACATACATGCATACACACACACACACACACACACACACACACACACACACACACACACACACACACACACATACAAACATACTCACCACAACATATATACACACACACACATACATACAAGCATACACACCACACACACACACACACACATACAGATGCATGTTTAGACATATCCGTCAACACATCCGTAGATGCACATACACACACAAACACACACACAAACTTTATCCCCACTCCTGTCACTAAAATGACAGACAACACACAAATCTAACATCTTTTCCTACGCTCAATATCCTCCATAAACTCCTTTTTTCCCATCCTTCATTCTTTTATTCACTCTTCCCTCTTCTCTCCCTTTTTTCCCCATCCGGTGAGCACTTCCACCAACAGCGAGAGCAAATAGCAGTCTGCACGTCGGTTGCATCAGATCAATTGCAACGGGGGAAGTCTTGAACACGCCGATCATGAGTTCCTTGGGTACCCCCTTACCCCTACTCTTCACCCCCCCCTCCACCCCTCCTTGTGGGTATCCCCCTTACCCCTGCTCTTCAACCTCCCCCCCCTCCACTCCCGACCCCCGACAACCACGACTTAAGGCTTAGGTGTAGTGGGAGAGGAGGGGAAGGGAGGGGGGATGGATGAGGGGGGACAAAAAAGAGGTGAACGGGGGGATGGGATAGAAAAAAGTAGGAGAGAGAGAGAGAAAGAGATAGATAGATAGATAGAGAGAGATAAGCAAGAGAGGAGAGAGAGAATTACAGAGATAGAAGAGGGAATGTCAAGGAGATTAATAGATGAATAGATAGAGTGATAGATAATTAAATATGCAAATTGATAGAGAAAAGGGGAGAGACGGACAGACAGAAAACAAGTGAGAGAGATAGACCTAAAGAGAGATAAAAAATGAGAGACAGGGAGAAATAAAGGAGGTGAGGATGACAATAATGCTAATAAAGATAATAATATTATTTGTAACAGTCATGAGAATAACTTTAATAATAGTAGCAATGATAATGCTGTAACTCATGAATAATAATGAAAATAAAATTATCCAAAAAAGCTGCAACAATAAGAAAATGATATAGTTACATAATTACAATTAATATTAATTACAATTATCTAATGATTATAATTATTAATAATTACAATGATAATGATGATTATAATAATGATGATGATGGGAACAAAAACACGGTTCTACGTCTATAAACAAGTACAAGAACAAAACAAAATTACAGCAGTAGCAATAATGATAAAAGTGATAGTGTGATAATGATTATGATAAAAATGATGATAATGATAATGATGATAATGATAAAAATGATAATGATAAAGATAATGATAAAAAATATAATGATAAAGATAATGATGAAATCATGAGGTTGACGAAATAATGAATATCATTTTGATTATACATGATAACAACAGTAATCATGGTAATAGTAATATGGTAATTATGATAATTATTTGATGACGATATGGTAATCATGATGACAATACAATGATGATAAATGAGATATGATCATAACAACAATAATGATCATTCTAATATAATGATAGATATGATAATATCATTGATAATACTGACAGTGATACTAAATGTACTTCAAATTGTGATCATAAACAATAACAACCGCATGGAGAATACCTCCCTTTCTCCGCCTCAAAAGCAGTTTGCCACCTCATGTAATACCCTTTAAAGAGGGAATCCGGGATGAGTGGGGAGGGGAGGGGGGGGGGGTGCAAGAGGCTTAGGGTACGAGTGGCCGCGGACAACATAGGAACATTTAGCTGGACATGGAACAAAGTGTTCCTCCTTTTTGCTTTGTGCTTATTTTTTCTTTTATGTGTTGTTGCGTATATCAAGGAGAAAGAGGAACGTGTCTTCTGAGTGCTTAATCCAATACACCGACACCCAAACAAATATGTATATATTACATACATACATATAGGTTATACATATAAGCATACTTATATATATTCATATAGCTTAATATACATATATATATATAATATATATAATATATATATATTTATTATATTATATATATAATATATATATAATATACTTACATACATGCATATATATATATATAATATATATAATATATATATATATATATATATATTATATATATATATATATATAATATACTTACATACATGCATATATAATATAATATATATATATATATATATATATATATATATATATATATATATATATATATGTATATATATATATATATATATATATATATATATATTATATATATATATATATATATATATATATGTTGTGTGTTGTGTGTGTTGTGTGTGTGTGTGTGTTGTTATACATACATATATATATATATATATAATATATATATATATATATATATACATATACTTACATACATGCATATATATTATAATATATATATATATATATATATATATATACATTATATATATATATATTATATATATTATATATATATATAAATATATATATACATATATATATATATATATAATTATATAATATATATAATATATATTATGTATATATATATATATATATTATATATATATTATAATATATATATATATGTATAT